ACTCCTTTTCCATTTACCAGAAAAGATCACGTAAAATCAATGTTATGTTTTTTGCAGTGGGCTGAAACATTCCCCCCAACGCTCCAAATTAAATGTTGGAAAACATGATGGTTTGGGAGGTTATTTGATAGGACTTACATCGTGAGGGTGGGGCCTTCAGGAGTGAGATTAGTGCCCCTATAGAGGGAACCCAGGAAGCTCTCTCACCCTTTCAGCCCTGTGGAAGGACATACCCAGAAGCAGCCATCAGTGACCAGGTTCAGTGTCCTCAGCGGCCACCAGGTCTGTCAGCAGTGATCGTGACCTTCTCAGCCTTTATTCTGTGAAGTGCACGTTTCTATTATTTGCCAGCTACCAGTCTGTGACACTTTCTTTTACCGTTCAGAACAGACTGAAATGGTCTTCACGTGTTTATAGGATCTGATGACACAGCCATCCGAAACGGGAAGACTTTTAATGTGAATTCAATTTCAGTGACACACGTAGGTCCACATGAGGAGTTCGGTTCTTCGGGGAGAGTTGGGGGTTTGTGGTCAGTTTCATGTAAGTGCTTTGCTGTTTCCTTTTGCATTATAAAAATTGTTTGTCCCGCTCCCTAGTGACCATTTCAGTGTCTGCGGGTTTTAGCAAACTTTCTCTTCATCTCAGGATGTCCATAATCTGTGTCTTTTTGGTTTTTTCCAGTGTCACTAGGGCTATGAGTTTTATAAATATTTACAAAGAACCAGCTGTTAGTTTCCTTTACTTTTGTACACTACCTTTCTCCTTGCCATGTTACTGATTTATGATACGCATTACATCCTTCTTGCCTACACTTTAGGCTTAGTTTCTTAAGGTGAGAGTTTATAGGATTATTTAAGCCCATGCTTCTAGTATGGGCCCCCGAAGCTACAAATTTCTTTCTAATCACGGCTCTGCAAGTTCTGATAGGCAGTATTTTCATTTTTGTTCAGCTTAAAATGCTTTCCCTTGAGGCTTCTTTAACTCATGGATTATTTATCAATAGATTAGTTGTTAACTGTTGGAGACCTCCCAGTTACTTTTCTGTTGTTAATTTCTAACTCTATCCCTTGATTTCTCAGAGAACATTCTTTGCACAATCCCACCCCATTTAAATTGGTTAAGCCTTTGTTCCATAACTCAAAATGCAATCTATATTTGTGAATAACATGTACTCTAGGAAAGAAAAGCATCCCGCTGTTGCTGGTAGAGCATTTTATAAATGCCAGTCGAATCCAGTTGGTTGAAGCCTCATCTGGGGCAGTTTCGTTCTGCGTGAAACAAAGCAGTGCTGTCCAGAGCGATCACGGACTGTTACAGCCTGTGGGCAGCTGCTGGCATCCAGCGGGCAGGATCTCCTGGCTAACATTCCATGACACAGGGGACAGATCTGCCTCCTGATCCTCACCCACAGCAAACAATTGTCTGGCCCCAAATGTCACAGAGCCAAGGATAAAAATCCTGTTCCTTGCTTCCCCTCTCCCTGCTTTTCCAATTATTGAGAGGCAAATATAGATGTCTTCAATTTAATTGTAAGTTTGTCCATTCATATACTTAGTTCATTTACATAGAAGCTTTTTATAGGCACATATCTATTTGACTTTTTGGTCTTCTTGGTAAAATGTCAATTTTATTATCAAATAATATTCTTCTTATGTGCAGGCAAATTTTTTGTTCAGAAATATTCTCTGTCTAATATTAATAAAGTCATTCCAGCCTTCCCTTAATGTTTGCATGATATGACTTTGCGGATCTTTTAGTTTAACTCACTTTTGTTTATTTAAAGTGAATTTCTTACAGCTAGTGCAAGCTTTTCCTTTTGTAACCCATAATGATACAAACACTTTGGTCCCCTTTATTTAATATAAATATTTAGATCACTTTTATTTAATGTGAATGTTACTATGTTCATATTGAGGACTACCGTTTTAGTAGTCTTCCATCCATTTCCGCTTTCCTACCTTCTTGGGGTTATTTGAAGTTTTAAGAGCTATTTTATTTTCATTTACAGACTTAGGTGTTTACCAGAGCTCTTTTTAATATTGTCTTAATGATTTCTCTTGGGATTATCTGTCCTTAACGTTCACAGCCTAGTTACAATTAAAAACCTAGTTACAATTAAAAACCTACTTACAATTAAAAACCATGTAAAAATAAACCTTCCACCACAGGGGTCTCATTAACTTGCCCACATAGTCCACCTACAGGCACTGCCAGCCCCGTCAGAGGGTGTTATTTTGTTTTCAGTCACATGCATATTTTAAAGATCTTCATAGCAGAACAAAACGTCTCCCCAATGTCTTTACATATTTACATTTCTGCTGCTCTAACCTCCTTTCCAGAGCGCCACGTTCCCCTCTGCTGTGATCTCCCTTTTATCTGACAGGCTTCCTTTGGTATTTCTGCTAAAGCAGCTCAGTTTGGAGCAAAACCTTTTATGTTTCATTCATCTGAGAATATTTTTATTTTGCCCTCATTTTTAAAGAATACTTTCGCTGTCTGAGTTGACAGACTGTTTCTTTTAGCGCTTTAAGTTTTCTTTCCAATATCTCTAGCCTCAGAGGTTTCTGATGAGAAAACTTGTCCTTTGTATGGAAACTCCCCTGTACAGAATGTGTCATTTTGCCTCAGGCACATTTCAAAGAGTTAGTTTATTTGTTGCTTCATTTTGAGTAATTTTGTTATGCTTCTTAGTATGTATTTCTTTCGGTTTATCTTATCTGGAGATTTCTGTGTTTCTTGTGTCTGTAATTGTCATTCACTAACTTTTGGAAATTGGCAGTCATTTTTCCTTTAAAAATTTTTTTGCAACACAATTCTTCCTTTTCTGCTGGGATGTAGTTTGTAGCTGGGTGCTCAGCCCAGATAGATCCAGGTTGTAAGGTCTGTGTGTCATCTGTCAGTCCTGTCAGCCATGAATCTAACAACCATTTGGTTTTCAAAGAACAGACGGTGTGGTTCTGATCCACTCTGTGTTACCTCACCTCCAGCCCAGAACCTGCATGGTGGTCTATGTCTCTGCTCAATTCTCAAAGCTTTTGGGCCCAAGCACAAAGGAACCTGCTCTTATCCATGCAGAGGTAGCTCAGATGCATCCAGCATTCACGCACTCCTCTAGGTAGCCCTTTTCTAGAAAGCCTCCTCTCTGCAATTCCCTCTACGCTCTGTGGGCCCCGGAAGTCTATTCTCTGGCCCCCTTCTCGATCCTCTGGCTAGAAGTCCAGGAATTTTGTTTTCTAAATCTGCTGCACACTTTCTGGGCAAAGTGAGACTCCTTTGATTTTTTTCTGACCCTAGAAGCCCCCTTCCCTTCGGGATGATGCAAGAAACTTGCAGTCACCCTGGTTTCCCTAGGTAGAATCACTTCCCTCTCCCCACTGCTGTGCAAAGAGCCCTTTGTGTGCTTCTCTTCTGAACTTCTTCGGAACTTCGGAGGGGAAGGTGGGGCACTGTGTCCTCACCCCTCAATCCACCTTAACTGTCCCTGAACCCAGGCTGCCTTTAACCTGCTTCTTCCCTCCTGGGCCTGTCCCTCGGGTTACTCTGGAAGATAGAGAAACTGGCTTGCTGGTTACTCCTACTATCTCGGCCAGCCAGCCAAATGCACTGAAAGCAGCATGTCCACCCTTTCCAAAGAGCAGGGCCAGCTCCCATGGTTCGTGCTAGTGCTGCTGAGAGCTAACAAGCCTGTCAGGTTTGGGGAGCGCCATCCAGAAGTAGCAAATCAGAAAGCAAGAGGCACCGAGATTCAGGAAGGGAAAGGGCTAGAGACCACACAGAACAGACTGCGGGCTGTTCATCACGATACGCTTCCTTGGTCTTCCTCTCTACCTCAGGATAATTCTCTGTGTCTTGCATTATTGAAGATTGGAAAAACACTGAGAAATGTTCACTGTAACAGTATATAATAAGTCACATTCATCAAGGTTTTCCTGTGTGACAGGCACCCTTAGAGTGCTTTCTGAACTGGACATGGTGGTTCATGCCTGCAATCCCAGCACGTGGGAGGCTGAGGCAGGATGATTGCTGCTAGTTTGAGGCCAGCCTGGGCTACATAGTGAGTTCAAGCCTGTATTACAAAACAAGATCCTGCTTAAAAAAAACACCCCAAAAACTCAAACAAGCTCTTTCCCTAAGAGTGCCACCTGGGGGTTGTTTCACCAGAGAGGAAAGTCAGGCACTGAGAATTTAAGAACATCGTTAGCAACAGAATTGGGTATCTAAACAAGCATGCTGAACCAGAGTCTTCCCCCACCCTGTGCATGCTGTGCTCCCATATGGTGGCAGTCAGAAGCATCACAACACCCACGGGAACAGAGGAGCTGGCAGGGTGGATTTCCAGTGTGAAGGAGGCTGGGAAGAAGGGCAGTACTCCCGGGACACTTGGCCATGCCTAGCCCTGGCTCCTCCACGCGGGGGACGAGGGTACGGGGCAGGCAAGCCTCGGGTCCTGCACCCAGTGCTCTCCTGTTGCTCTAAAGTTCTAGCAGCCACAGCCAGGTCCAGAGTGTAAGGAGGGAACCGAAGTCCTTCTCAGTGCCGCCCTAACCCTCAGGTGTGCACTCAGATTACAGCTGTCTGCAGCCCTTCCTAGGACAGAAGGGCACTGCTTGGAGAGCACTGGATTTATGTGGGTGTCTGAGACGTGGATCGGATGTCCAAGAAACCACTCTCCTACACACACGCACACATCCCTGGAGTCAGGGGTTCATGTCCGAGGCCAAAACTATGGCGGTGTCCATAAGGCAGGAAGTGGCCAGCTAGAGAGCCATTAAGTGTCCTCTGGCCAACCCTCACCTCTCACTTAGCATCTGGGGAACCTGAAGCTTGAGGGGCCGCAAGTTTATTGAGGACTCTCTGGACAGATTCTGATAATGCTCCAATTCCTCTTTACTCTCTTGTGTCTCTCTTTCTAGACCAATCAGGAGCATAGCACATGATTAAGGGGGGCTGGCCCAGCACCCCATGACCTCTCCTAATGAGATTCATTTTTCACTTAGCAGTTTCATGTGACCTCTTCCTCAGACTGGCCACCATCCAATCAGAAAGACACTCTAGCAACATCTTCCTCCCTCAATAAAAGAACATGGCCAAGGGAGGGAAAGGCCCTAAGGGCAAGAAGATCACCCTCAATGTGGCCAAGAATTGCATTAAAATCACCTTCGATGGGAAGAGACGCCTGGACCTGAGCAAGATGGGAATCACCACCTTCCCCAAGTGCATTCTGCGCCTCAACGATGTGGATGAGCTGGACCTCAGCCGAAACATGATCAGGAAGATCCCCGAATCCATCGCCAGGTTCCAGAACCTGCGGTGGCTGGACCTGCACAGCAATTACATTGACAAGCTGCCCACGTCCCTCGGCCAGATGACCACACTGCTCTACCTCAACGTCAGCAACAACCGCCTGATGGCCAACGGGCTGCCCGTGGAGCTGAACCAGCTCAAGAACATCCGCACCGTGAACCTGGGCCTGAACCACCTGGACAGCGTGCCCACCACGCTGGGCGCCCTGAAGGAGCTGCACGAGGTGGGGCTCCACGACAACCTGCTCAGCTCCATCCCCAAGAGCATCGTGCAGCTCCCCAAGCTGAAGAAGCTCAACACCAAGCGCAATCCCTTTCCGAAAGGCAATGAGATGGACACCTTTGTGGACTCCATCAAAAGGCTGGAGACCCTGCATCTGGTGGAGGAGAAGGACCTGTGCGCGGCTTGCCTGAGGAAATGCCAGCTGGCTCGGGAGAAGCTGAACCGAGTCAAGAGCACAGCCACAGCGGCACCAAGAAAGACCCTGTTTTCCTCTTTGATCTCCCCTAACTCCATGGCCAAGGAATCTCAGGAAGAGTGGAGGTGATCTGGGACCCTGATCCTGAGGCAGGAGGGGAGAGCAGGGGCAGGGGACTGTGACCAGAAAAGTGAGAGTGCCCTGTTACAGCAATCACCTTCCACCTGGCCCATAAAACACCTTTCCCACCGCCTCGGCTTGTGCTGTGTTGACTGGAGGGCTTTGGGTTCCCCCACTACTCTGCACACTTCTTCTTGTTCTGTACCCACACCCACGCAGATAGGTGAAGTATGTCAGGGAAGGGCCACCATCCATCCACACTATCACCCATATACTTATCCACCCATCTACCCACCTACCCATCCATCCACCCATCTACCCACCCATCCATCCACCCATCCATCTATCCAACCATCCACCCACCCACCCACCCACTCACCAATTCACCCATCCATCCATCCATCCATATATCCAACCAACCACCCATGCATCCCCCATCCATCCCCCATCCATCCACCCACCCATTCACCCACCCATTCACCCACCCACCTATCCATCCACCCATCCATCCACCCGTCCACTCATCCACCCATCCACCCACCCATCCATCCACTCATCCACCCACCCACTCACCCATTCACCCATCCATCCATACATCCATATATCCAACCAACCACCCATTCATCCACCCATCTATCATCCACCCACCCACTCACCCATTCACCCATCCATCCATACATCCATATATCCAACCAACCACCCATCCATCCACCCATCTATCATCCACCCATCCACCCACCCACTCACTCATTCACCCATCCATCCATACATCCATATATCCAACCAACCACCCATCCATTCCCCATTCATCCCCCATCCATCCATCCACCCATCCACCCACCCATTCACCCACCCACCCATTCATCCACCCATCTACTCATCCACCCATCCACCCACCCACCCATCCATCCACCCATCTACTCATCCACCCATCCACCCACCCATATACCCTTCCATCTATCCACCCACTCATCTACTCATCCATCCATGCACCCAGCCATCCACCCATCCACTCACCTATCCGCCCATCCACCCATCCATCTACTCATCCATCCACCCATCTACTCATCCACCCACCCACCCATCCATCCATTCATCTACTCATCCACCCACCCACCCATCCATCCACCCATCTACTCATCCACCCACCCACCCATCCATCCATTCATCTACTCATCCACCCACCCACCCATCCATCCATTCATCTACTCATCCACCCACCCACCCATCCATCCATCCACCCATCAATCATCTATCCATCCACTCATCTACCCATTCATCCACCTATCCATCATCCATCCATCATTCCACCCACACATCTATCCATTCATCCATCTATCCAGCTCACTTCTGCCCCTGAACTCTCTAAACAACAACCTGGGGCCCAAGTGACGATGTTGCCAGCTCTCTCTGGCATTTCAGGACCCATCACCCACACCCAAGTGTGGAATGTGTCCCATAGGAACTTCTTGTATCTGGGCTACAAGGTCAGCAATCCCAAAGTGTGAGCTAGCGCTGGTCACAGATAAAAGCATGAAGTGAAGTCACAGAGATGAACAGATTTTACGGATTGCAGGTAGCATCTTATCCTACCTCTTCCCTCTACATGGTTTGCTCCAAGAGCTTTCTATCCTAATTCTGCAGCCCCCACAGGCTGTGAATGAATGAGCTTACTGCATCTCATGCCTTTCTAGAACTTTGTGGGAAGGAAGGAGTAAGGGCAGGTGTGGCTCGGTGCATTCAGCAAGTAAATAGCTCACTCGCCCTGTGCTAGGAGCAGGACCCACATTCAGTGGGATGAGCTTGGTCTGCCTTTTGCAAGCTGGAGGAGAGGCCCTCTGAGAAAAGACAGGCAGAACATCTTGGGCTGAGAAACTTAGGGGACCAGAGCCTTGATCTTCGGAGCCATATTTAAAACATTTGCATTTAAACTCTTCTGTGGTTGTGCATAGTTACAAGTTACTGCTGGGCACTTGAGCTGTGCAGGACTGGCCTGGCATAGAGAAGTCTAGAAGTGGGTAATTGGTCCTTAATGGTTCTGCTTCTCCTGCCATCCCTGTGGGGCTTCTTGTTCAAGCTCAGCTATGAGGTGGGGCTCATGCCCACCCCCAGGGCTGCTGTGAGCTAACACATGTGACACAGAGAGCTTGCACGCAGAGGACCGAGATCTCTCCCACAGCAAGGGCTCATTCCTTGCGAAGCTAAGACATTCCCTCGGGCAGGCCATGAGCCACACAGCTCTCTGGACAGAAATGAGAGTGGCAGAGGCAATCCTCATAATAGCTGTGACCCTTTGGTGGCCTCACTGTACACCACTCACTGAAAAGTAAGAGGACCTAGAGGCAGGGGGAAGGCGATGCTGTAGTGGTCCTCAGGGCACAGCAGGCACCCTCGGTTTGGGGGGCTTGTTTCTTTCGTCACACCGTGAACCACTTCACACCGCTCCCTCCCCTTCTGCTCTCTGTCCTCTGTATCACTCAGCCGTGACAATGCCTTTGTACTTCCAAAACCCCAGAGGAGCTAGACTCAAAGGCCCCATTTTAGTTTATCAAATGCCTTCCATCAGAAAGCAACAAGACCACAGCCTAGTCTTGCATGTGGACGATGAAAATGCGCAGCCTCCTGCAGGGTGAGCCAGCTACAACCCTGGCGGGTTTCCTCACCAGCTGTCTTTCTGCTTGTGTGTCTGCACACAGTTAAAATCACAGCGCTCACGCCCTCTCCATCCTGACCTGAAAGCCGTGTGGGCACGCGGTCTCCACATCCATAATTTAGAGTGTCTGCTAGACGGTTGCTCTTTTGGATATGCATAACTCCAAGTCAGGTTGGGCATTTAGGGTTGTCTCCAACTTTCCACTCATGGAAATAGTTTTGCAGTGAGAGCTGGGAGGACTAAAACATTTTTAAATGTTTTAGATAATTTCTCTGGCACAGCTGCATGCCTGAGACTATCGTGTTAAAAGCTATGTTGGTTTCAAAAGTAATTTTTGACGTATGCCGTGCAGTAGCTTACCAAAGAGCATGTCCACCGGTGATGGATTAGGGAGCCCGTTTCCCTGTGGCCTCAGGGTCACTGAGTATTGTCCCCTGTGTGGTCCTCCTCACTGCATCTCTGGTTGGCCTGAGCCTTCTGGAGATGGAGGGTAGTCATGACCGAGATCTGCAAGATGGGTGCCACCATCTTGGCTTTGGGAAGCTACTAGCATGCTGGGACCTGGACCTGCCTGTCCGTGAGCTCAGCTGTTCACTTCATCCCTTTCTCTCTAAGCCAAAAAGCCCAGAGTCCCTGGGCAGGAAGTGGCAGAAAGCTTCCGGGCAGAGTGGCAGGGAATTATCTGCCTGCTGTTAATTTCTGTTGCTCTGCCTGGAGGTGCTTTTGTTGGAGAATCAGTGTCCCCTCTCAGGTGCCCAGAAAGATCAGCCAAGAGGAGGCAGGAAGAAAAGCAGCTAGAGACCCCGGGGGACCCCTTTGCCATGCAGCACACTCCATGCCACTAGGGTCTGGCCCTGAGATCCCTTTGCTCTTATCATGGGGTCTCAGGAAGGGATTTGGATTTCACCAGGCAATTGGCTTTGATTCGCCACTGAACTCAGTCAAGCGAGACGCCGTGTTAGCCAGGAAAGGCTGGCACCGTGGGTGAGGAGTACAGAGGGGTGCAAAGGTGCAGACCAGCTAGCAGGTGTCTGTGCTTGCTTCCTTTCCTGTCAGAGAATGGCCTGACCTTGATGTCCCCTTTATGCTCTAAATAAACACCAGTCCCCTTGTTTCCTGGAAACCGTGGGGAGTCTAAAAGTACAGGGTAGCAAAGCCACATGGGGCTTCTGTTGCCTCCAGTAGAACAAAAAGGTCACACACACCGAGCCACTGGGTCTGATTCTGAAAGCTGGGTGTGACCCAGTGACCCCGTGCGACCCCGGGGTGATCTGTGTTTTGCCCTGCAGCCCAGAACAACCGCCTGAGCCTCTTGTGTCTCCATCCCCAGGTTGCGCCCAACATCCTCCTAGAGTAGCTTATGGCAAAACACGGAGACTGCTCAGGACACAGGAACACACGGCTCTGAAGAGGAGAAGCCGGTTAGGAGAAGACAGAGGGCGGGAGCACCCAGAAGCCGGGTCTCCGCACTGCCCACGGCCCTGGCTTAGCTCACGAGCTCCCGGCCGTCTCCTGAACCCGAGACCATCTCATCTGCTGTTCTAAGTGTATACAGAGCAAACATCTAAGATAATCAGCCACATTAGCAACCTTGGCAAGCTTCAAAGACGACATTGAGACTTAGAAGCCTTGCGATCTCCACATTCCACTCACCCTGGTGTAATCACTATCTGATCATAGTGACGCGCGCATAACGTAATGCTGCGAGCAGCTCGAGTTTGTATAACTCACCTACACAGAGAAACAAAGGCACTAAGATAAAGTAGAATTTTAATGCATCTTTCAGTTATGTACGGGAAGGCAGAAAAAAAGAGAACAGAGGCACAAACAGGGAAAGAAAACAATACAAAAATGTCAGACTTATGTCCTAACATTTCAGCATTCACATGAAATGCAAACGGTCAAATTTATGTACAGTGGCACCAAAAGGAAACAATCAATGTCCTTCAGTGTACAGCCGGTTGAAAAAGCTCCGGTATATTCATACGTGAAATACTATGTGGTCATGAAAAAGGAGCATGCTATTTACACATTCAGCACGTCCAATAGAGCTCAGTGGTATCATTCTGAGTTTAAAAACAGCCAAGCTCCAGCGATCACTTCCTCTGTGGTACTATTTGTAGAATGTACTTCAAATGACGGTGTCATAGAGATGGGAGCTAAAGACAGCTGGCAGTGACAGAGGCAGGCATGATCATCAGATCCGTGCTGCATGTGCTGCATTGTGGCAGTGGTACAGCAGTCTACACCCGTGATAGGATGACAGAGATCCACACCACGCATGGCAGTGTGAATGCCTGGTTTTGAGATGGTACCGTAAACAACTCGAGCCTGCGTGGAGGCCGTGGGGTGGAGATGAAGGGGCCTTCTCCACTGTACAGTTTCCTGGGGACCTACAGTTAATTTACAATAAAAATGTAAAAATGTGTCTCGCTTCCTAGTTGTGATAATAAACAGATCCTTGCACTTCTCTCCAGTGCTAATTTGTGAGTCACAATAGCTAGCTTAGAGTGAGACTCAGACACACAAAGTCCACCCAGAGCCACAACCTCTCTACCACCCCAGAGCTAATGAGGCCGGAGGAGGGGAGATAAATTCCTGGAAAGAGGAGGAAAGCGGAAGCCAGTTCTCCAAGAGCCGCAGTGTGCCTGTCCTGGTGGCAAGACAAGAGACAGCAAGCACTACAGTGTCCTGGGTGCGTTGGGGACACAGGCAAGGTCCCTAGAGACCACACAGGACAGCCGTCCCTGACGATGAAGTCAGGCCTGGGGACACATGCTCTGTCCAATAGCCTAATGACCACAGGGAGCCCCAACTCCATTGCTATTATAATCTCATTTATATTGGGTCTCCCCACTCTCTGTGGGCTTCAGGCGCCATGACAGTTCCTCAAAGGTTCCTTCAGGGAACACCTCTGCCCTGTGCCTCCCCGGGGCGAACTGAGACTCCAGCCCAAGGAGCAACCCCTTCCCTATAGAAACCAGACGGAAGCTCTGAGCGCCGGCTCCTTCCAGGCTGTGGGCGCTCCTCACTGGCGCACTCACGCCCTGGAGAGGGAGTGCAGCCTGGGCAATACATCGATGCCTTCCCTTCTGTTCTGTGCATCCTGCTCAGTTCCTCACTGGGACACCAAGAGCCTAGCACGGTCACCACCTCAACTTTTCAGCATCCCACAAGAAAAAGCGCCTTTCCCTCGGCCCACCAGACTAATCGAAAATCACCCACTATTGATCTCATCCTGGAGGGTGACTGAGAAGGCTGTCAGAAAGAAAAGAAAATGCAGGGCTTCTACACCCACGTCCTGGCTTTACGGAAGTGGCCGGGCACCGGCAGCAATTGGGCAGCCCTGACTCAGTGGATGGGTGTCTCTTCCCATCCTCCAACTCTCACCACGGTGTTGGTTTCCGGGTCCAGGAATGTGGCTGAGGGTACAGCTGAGATCAGACAGGAGCCGAGTGCAACAGAAAAACAGAAGCAACCCAAGAGGACACAAACCCAGATCTGAGCATGAGCCAGGTAGAATCACCCGCTCTGATGCCCATTGTGCCCGCTGTGCGAAAAGTTCCTAAGTGCTGTGCATGGTTGCCTTGCTCAGAATTTTTAGTTTGTAGCCAGATGTGTCCAATCCCAGTTCTGCTCCAGACCCTGGGTAGCAATCCTGCTGTCTTGTCCCCTCTCGGAGCTGCGGATCATCAAGAACCTAAGGACCATATTTCTCCTATTTATCAAAGTGACTACATATTTTACAGGTTTTTAGCCTCTGAGTCCTCATTAATTCTAGGGGGTGTGATTGACAAGAAATGGGGGAAGAGTGTATTATAGTTTCTACCTAGATGCCCCCCCAAGCCCCATGCATTCATAGATGGGGATTCTATGAGGTGACTGGATCATGGGAGCACAGCGCTATGGGCAGATTAGTCCACTAGTGAGTTTAGAGCTAACTGGATGCTGGGGAGGTGACGCCTGGTGGGAGAAGGCGGGTCATGAGGTGCATGGCTTGCAAGAGTTGATCTCTCTCCCCCTCTTCCCGTGATGACTCTGTGCCATGTTCTGCCATGCCCTCCTGCCATGTCCCCTACCTTGGCACCAACAGACCATGCATTGACTCATCTACAAACTGTGAGCCGAATAAACCTTTCCTTCTTTAACTGTGGGTGTTGGGTATTGTGTTCCAGTACTGAGAAATTAGCTAAGACAGGGAGCTTGATTTTAAGGCTCCACGCTGCTAGGTGTGGTTGCATGGCTGTGACGGGTACCAATATGGAAGCTCAGCTCCTTATGGGAATTCCATAGCTTCCACTGCCATGTTGCTAAAGCTCTTGGCTTTCATTGGTTTCCAGAGATAATCTATGGAGGAGACAAAAACTGAAAGCCCTCAACTATAGAACCCGAGGTCCAAAAGTGAGTTCCACTCTAAACTTAGGTGCACCACACCCTGTTCCCACTGGACTCGGGGGCTTTCTCCAAGGGTCCCATCCCATTCTTTGTGCCAGGCAGGACGCAGAGAGACCAGGTAGATCCCACTCCAGTGGGTGCACATGGCCATGCTAGAAGAACCAACTGTCGCAGAAGTGAAAGCAGTCATTCAACACACACAGGCTCCAGCTCTACCTTGTCACCCACCTGTGGATGAGTGGAAATGGCTCTCAAGCACCTGGCTCCTCTCCCAAGAGTTCTCTCCCTCCATCTCTGGAGGGACCCAACTCAGTGGCCACAGCCAAGGTCCAGCTCCTCTTTGGTGGTGTTCCCTGCCAGCGCCTCTCTGTCTGGGATAGGAACAGAGCTCAGGGGTGTGGATGAAGGGGAGGACGGAGGGGCAAGGACACTGAGACCCTGCCATAACAGAAGTGGACAGATTGCTGCTCACAGCCAGGGACAGCTGGGGGGTCACTGTGCCAAGTGACACAGTATATCTTCAAGAGGGTGGCAGTGGGCAACGTAGTCTGTGTCACAGCTGATGAGAGTCATGGTCCTTGGGATAACCCTTTCTGGGGTGGCAGACAGCCCTCTGCCTTTTCAGGTGCCTCTGTGTTCACTTCTTTGTGGCATCGGTGCTTTGATTCTCCCAGGAAGCACCCTCTCTGGGTTTGGTCTATGACCCGGGGTGAGCGGACCTCCCCCCAGCACCTGGGTGGACAGGTCACCCTGGTCTGGCCATGGAAGCCATTTGACTGGCTCGGAGATGAGCATGTGACCCCACCTGAGAAGAGGAAATTCAGTGGGGCTTTAAAATTTTTTTTTTAAATTTCTTTGCCAAAATCACTAGGATAGAGAAAAAGCAGTTCCCAAGTGACCGCCATCTGGGAACTGCTGGGTACTGGTGAGTCCAAAGGCCAGCCTCACTCAGGAGGGAGAACCTGGCTGCCTGAGGACTCCCTGAGCCCAGAGACCCCGCCTCGCCTGGAGCAGGACTACGCTGCTCCAGGTGTGCATGGTGACAAATCCCCCTCCATCCCACTTAGTGTAAGGGGCCGACCACCACCTGTATTAACGCAGCACTGAGGAGCCCACGGGGGACAGACGGCAAGGCCTCACAGATGGACACGAGGTCCCCATGTGTGCACATGCAGGGCTGCTGGACTGGGAAGCAGCCACCCACGATCAGGGGCCCTGGCTGCCGGGCCTCTGCAGGGCTCCGGCCTGCGCTTGCCAGCTAAAGAGTTAATACCCGCTGGCAGCCCTGTGACAAGCCTGCTGAAGGTCATCTGTGACTCCAGGCTGCCCAGTTCAGTGGTCGGGTCCAGCTCTTCTCCGAGCAGGCCCACCCCCAGCTGGCCACTCCCATCGTGAGGCCTGGCCTGGGCATCTCGCCCAGCTGCCCTCTGTCCCTTCCCTCCACACTGCGCACTCTGGGCTCCTGTGAGCACAGTCCACGATCTCCTTTCTGTGTATACTGCCCCGGTGCACTCTCATGGCTTCCAAATCACACTTTCCTGGACTCTCCTTGCACTCCCAGGTCACACACCCCGCCCCCTCCTGGACATGTGATGGGCGCCCAGAGTCACATGTCCAAACCGTGCCCCTGAGGTTCGATTCACCCCCACAGTGGCTCTTCCTGGTGACCCCATTTCATTTTCCAGCTGGTTGAGGTTAAATCCACGCTCTCATTCTCAAGCCCTTTCTCTCACCCTCTCTCTCACACAAGCACACAGGCATGCACAATGGCCATCAAAGTCCATCAGATGTGACTTCAAAATCCAAGTAGCACCTGACCACCAACAGCAGCCTTGCCGCTGACTCCCCGACGGAAGCCGCCATCTCTTGTCACCTGGACCACAACAGCTCTGAATAGGCTCTGGCTTCTGCTACTGAGCTGCTAGGATGTACTCCTTTTGGTTTTTAATGCATGTTTGTAATACATAGTAGTGAGAACAACTTGATCTCCCCAGCCAGTTTCATGGCCTTGTCTCCAAAAGCCCACCTTCTTTTTAAGTCAGGGTCTCTCTATTGCCCACACTGACCTCGAACTTACAGCGATCCTCCAGTCTCAGACTTCAAAGTCCTACGATGACAGGCATGTGCCACCATGTCCAACTAGCCCATTGCTGGCACGGCAGTCAAAGTGGTTCTTTTCAGATAGAAGTCGGGTCACGTGGCTCCCCAGCTCAGAGCCCTTTCAAAGCTTCCCATCCACTCATGGAGATGCAGTGCCATTACTGAGCCCCCAAGGATCACCCCAGCTACCCCAACCCACCTTGCCCCCTGTACCCCAACTGCTCCAGCTCAGCCACACCCACCCTCCCCCACCCCTGCTTTTTAGATTCCATGCAAAAATGGTCTCCCCGTGTTGGTCGAGTCTCAAGTTAAACGCTGTCCCCTTGATGTGGGTGTCCCCAAGCACCCCATCCAAGGTCACCGTGCCACCTCTCTCGCTGTTTCCTACACTTTGCTGTCCAGTATGCTTTTCCTCCCCAGCTCGCTTACATCACTTCATGCCTGGTCTCCTCCGGGGAATGTGAACTCAGGGCGGAGGGCTCTGGGATACTTTTTTTTATTGCTTTGTAAGCACCAGGCCCCGCACATCACAAACTGTCAATACATAACTCTGGATGAGTTAGGGGGATGCAGCCCGTCCTCATGATACTCATTCTGGGTATCATTTCCGGGCCTGCCCGGTGTCTCCACAGACTCCTGGAGGAAACCAGTAACCACCTTCTTCCTATTCTCATTCCCAAGTAAAATAAAAACACCTACTGATCTCAGGTTGGCCACAGAAAACAGGGTGCTTGTAAAGGGAGACCTAGGGAGGAGCGGTAGGCATTTGACTCCCTGGAAAGATGCCCAGGTCAGAGTCACAAATCAGCATCCCAAACACCAACACTGCACGTAGACTGAGCGGCCCTTATGCAAATGCTTAGAGCTGGACATGGTTCTGTTTCAGATTACTTTAGATGGTTACATATTTGATGCATTAATGAGATGGAGATATCTTGGGGATGGGACCCAAGTCTAACCAAGAAATCCAACGGTCTGCTGAAGGCTGCCGATGAGATCCATGTGGCTAAGTCCAGCATGATTTCTCCACGCCTTACACACAGCCTAGAGAGGGCTCAATGGAGTTTTTCCCAGGTGTTGGCCTCTTAATGGCCACTGATCACAAAAGGCCCCACGTGGGACTGTCCACATGGCGCACCACATGGGAGTTACACTGAGAAACTGTCAGATTTTGCAACATTGCAGATTTTCCAACCAAGGATATACAACCTCTATTAATTTGCTCTGAACACTCAGAAACTCTCATTATGGGAAGGGCAGATTTGACATGGACCCCAAACACCCGCACCTCAGGGCCTGGCCACCAGGCTGTGCTGAGGTTGGGATCTGGGTGGAGAGCCAGCTTGCCACTGTGGGCAGGCCCACCTGCCACTCGGGTCTAAGAAATCCACAGGGCTGCGGAGGCTTCAGACCCCTTCACAGGTTGTGACGGGATGTCAGGAGTACCTCTGAGGGTTTAGGAGACAGAGATGGACAGATTACAGGTAACGGGAAATCCCAAGCATGCCCTTTGCATGGCTCCAGGGTGGGACCAAGCAAAGAAGGGTAATTAAAGTAAGACAGCAGGTCTCTGCAAGAGGAAACCCCACGTTACCTGAGGGCATCCTCCGAGGTGCCTTTCCCCTTCAAGCTGGGCTGGAAAGAGCAGAAGCTAAACAAAAAGAAAGGAATAATTGTATCGCAGAACACACCTCCTCCCGCCACTGTAGAGACATCTCCTGGCTAGGGAAGAAATGGGTCCATCTGGCTCTCCCATGACCCACGGCCCATGATGCCAGAGGCCATGAATGCCAGGCTCAGTGTACCCCTGGGGACTGCCTCAACACCTAGTGCTTACCAGCTTCAATAGTAGCAATGGCCACAATAAAATAACTGTCACTCAGGCAGTGCCTTTGATGAGCCTGTTCTGGGCCACACTTGAAATTTCCAGGGTCAGTTTGGACCACAGCTCCTATCCATCCCAGTGTGTCACCCTGGGACAAATGCCATCATGACTTAAGGCTCTTGTAGCAGAGTCGCTTGGGGCTATGGAGTCTATGTTAGGCCTGAACCATGGGCTGCTATTATTTAATCTGAAGTGTCCCTCAAAGGCCCATGTGCTAAAGGCTTGGTTGCTGGGCTGTCACCATTGAAAGGGGCGGAAGCGCTGAGAGGGGGGTCCCACCAGGGGCAGCCCCTATGTCCTCGGGGGCATGCCCTGGAAGCGGACTGTGGAACCCCAGCCTCCTTTTCCTGTCTTCCCCTTTTTCCCCTCTTGATGTCACCTCCTGCCACTATGATGAGCCCTTCACCTCAGGCCCAAACCCAGGGACCCAACAGACTGTCACAGGCAGGAGCCCCTAACATTGCAAGCCCAAGTAAATCTCTTTATAAGGTGATTATCTCAAGTGTTTTGTCATAGTAATAGAGCACTGACCAGCAATTACAGCTGTGTAAAACTTTTAGATTTACTGTGGAAAAACTTGGGTTTATACCCAGGAACCAGAGAATGGGGGTCAGCATTACATGTCTGCTATTCCATTTGGATGGAAATGGATCGCAGAGGCCGCTTTAGGAGGAACCTAACAGCAGCATTGGAGGAGTCTCATTAAAAGTCTCACCGAATCTAAGAAGGCGGGCCCGGGTCAGCAGAGTCCCCACAGCTACTGACGTGGGAGTTACTCCTCTGCACTGCGGTCATTTCCTGTCTGGAAGCTCTGAGCACAAAATATGACTCCCAGGTGATGAGAGTCCAGCCCAGAGTAGAGCAAAACATAACTATGACCCTGTACTCCAGCCTCCAAATAGTCTGCCCTGGCCAGGATCCTTCCTGTCTGGCTTTCCAGAGTCTCAATGACTATTTATCTATACCTTTAATAATAATAAAAATAAATAACCTTGAGTGCTACGAATTTAGACAAGGGTTGACATCTCCCTGGCAGAAAGGAGGAGCTGAACTGAATGAAACATCAGCCTCCTTTTAAGAAGAAAGATGCTCCATGCACAGCAGGAAACCAGTTGTTCTGAATTGTTTCCAGTGAAATAACAAAATGCAGCCACTAAAACTGGCAATTAGGATTTTTTTAAAAAGTAAAAAAAAAGTATGTGGCAAATTAGAAATATCTTCAGAACATTCTAGAAGGTTCACTCAACAGTTTCTGGAAGAGCTTGTATGTGCAGGAATTTCCTCCTTTGGTCACTACTGTCCAAAACTACTCAGCCTGTGGACAGAACACAAGGGACAGGGGCTTCTCTATCTCCTGTCTGTGCCTGGGCCAGGATTTGCCTGCGCTGTGGGTCTGGAAGACCTTCATGGTGCCTAACCCAAGTCTTGCTTCTACGTGAGAGTTGAGAACACTTGTCCTGAACACAGATATTAGCAGACTCTGGTCCCTCTGGGTGCAGGCTGTCTCCCACAGGGAAGATTTTCAGTCCTTTACCTTTTGAAGGCTTTATTCCGATCACTGTTGTAGAAGACAAGAAACTTGGAATATCCATTCTGGAAAAAGATCTCCATGGCAATGTCCTGTGAAAAGAAACTGTTTTGATCACCCTTAACGTCCCGTCCCCAGGCATGGGCTCACCCCACATGACCAAGCTGCTGACAGTTGTTGTGAGGTGGGTGGAGCCTGCTGGTCATCTTCCTGGACTCCTCAGGAGAATGCAGGCCTTGGTGGTGGTTGAATAGGGGTCTACAGAGTGCTGGGCAGCCAGAGGACCTGCCCACAGCCACACAGTCTTTTAGCCTCAGCAGGAAGTGGAAGCCCACTCCATTGCCAGGATGAGTGAGGAGCAAACAGAGAACATGTTCATTACACACTCAAGACACTTTCACTTCCGGGTCATAGGTTGTGTTTCCTGGGTCACAGGTCACCTCACCGGAAAGACCAGGAAGTCAGGGCCCCGACGTGTGCTCCTCTGCAGACCTAAGAGGCACAGGAACTTGCCCCCACCCCAGTGTAACAGTAGTGATGTTATCAGCGAGGCTGTACTGCTAACACTTAAATAAAACCTACACATCCTTTTTCCTTTGTGTTTTCTTTCCCTCTCCCTCCACTCTCTCCCTCCCTTCCCTTCCAAGTTATGCAGATAACAGACTTGGAGTGAGAGACTGAGTCCATCCTGGAATCTGCCTTGGGAATGAGATCGTTTCCAGGGGAGAGAATTCTCAGGGCTGGGGCAAGGAAGGGGCGATTCAGACACAAGGCCTGGGGCACGGGTCTAAATCAGAGCTGGGTCCCATCTCCAGTCCTGGCCATGTCCTACTTCTGCCTGGCAGGAAGTGAGTTCCCAAGTCTAGTCCATTAGAGGAGAAGCATTCATCACGGTATCTCTGGGGTACGTGAGAGAGCCTTGGATTCTCCTTCCCAAGAGAAATGTGTGCAAAGCTGAACATGAAGGAGAATTTATGGTGACGATGGCCTTGCCCTGCAGAACCCCCTTGCCTGCATCCCTTGCAAAGGTGCTTGGGAAGCCTGACCAAAAGAGAGCAGCCTCAAGGGAGGAAGAGGGCTCAGACCCAGGGCAGAGCAGCTCGCTGGGCCCTGGGCAAAATTCCAGAATTAACTTCCCTAAAACGCTTCCCGGGCTTCAGTTTCAGAGAATAACCTGGACCCTCCTGCAGGAGCCTGCCCTGTGCACACACCCAGTACAAATTTACAGCTGTGAGGTTCCCTTACAAAGTTGATCAGGAACTAACAGTGTCCCTTGCTGGCCTCTGGAAGGAACTGGACCAAGGTGAGTACCAAGCCCTGGCCCTGCTCCTCTCCTGCACCCTAACCCTAACCTCCTTTTACTCTGGTGTCCCTTGGGAGGCCTAGGGACAGGGACACAGTTTTATTCTCCCCATCACCACCACCGTGTTCCACTGATACGGGAAGCTGCATCCCTCAAAGCATGGGCTCCAGAGCTCTTCTGCTGGCCTGCGGCGCCCAACTGAGTCGGGGTGGGGTTCACTGCTAGCTCTCGCTCCATGAGGGCCACCTGCTCTGGAGTGGCATCTGGGAAAGCCCACAGATGCAGTGGGGAGCTCCAGGAAACCCAGGCGGCAGGGGACAGTTAGCGGGACCCTAAAACACATGGCCTAGGAAGTGACCAGGAACCTGCAGCGAGGTGAGTGCTGAGGAGAGGAGGACATGGAGTAGAGGTCGCACAGCACGGTCAGAGCAGGGCAGCAGCCTGGATGCTCCACCCTCAGCTGTCTGGTAACAAATGGGCCTGCCCACCCTCTGTTCCTGAATCTCCCAGGCTGCCCTGCGGTAAGTCAAGGAAACTATACAGAATCTGACTCTGAATGATACAGGGGAAAGGAACAACCTCGAAGCCACGGCTAGGACTGGACAGCATGCAGCAGGAGCCAGAACACCTAGCCTGCTGGGACCGACAGAACCAGGGACCCCACAGTGGGTACCAAGGCCCCTGGCTCTGCGCTGGCACCAAGTAGGGCCTTGAGTCATGTCCTTGGATATGGAGCTTGGACTCTGCGTCTCCTGACAGGGAGGCCCTCCCACCTGCCTGAGAGGCGTCACATACCTGCAGCAGGAAGCGAGCCTGCCGGAGTTCCCTGAGGTCCCCGTAGCCGTGGCGCTGGCAGGAGTAATGGTCAGAGGACCTGTCTTTGCTGCACATGTTGAAAATGAAGGGGTCACTGATGCTGGAAGGAAACGAGACAGGCAGCGGCACAGTCGGTCATCTGGCAGGCTCCTTCCACCCCCTGCCTCGAAGGGCCCATCTGAGTTTGGGGCACACACTGGAGGAAAGCTGTGCGCATGCCAATGGGCATACCAGTCCCCGTGATGAGACCGGCCTTTTCGGAGTGCTTGCCCAAGTCTACTCTGCCCCAAGCAGTGTGTGGGAGCCAGCCTGAGGGGACAGGGCCCTGTGAGACTGAGCGCAGGGGTCTGAGGAATGGTGTTAACTACACCCCCTCGGTGCCCCGGGCCTGCCTTTCCCATCCCTACATCTCTGGCAGCCGGAGAGCTTGCATGTAGACCGTTCCAAGTTGCTGGGTGTCCCTGGCCTGGGACAAAGAGGTCCCCTGCATTCTGAAGACACTGCTTTGTCACACAGCAAATGCATCTGTCTGAAAACCAGAGTTCAGCCAGTTTGCAAAATGCAGGCCTGACTGAGAGAACGAGTAGGGACTCCCTTTTCAAATCCTTGAGCCGGACCTTGGGGAGCAAGACGCAAGCTTGGAGAACAGGAACAGGATAGGGGCTCAGGCAGAAGCAGAGCAGGGACACGGGGGTGACTTGCACCCGCACTGCCCCCCAAAGGAGCTGGAAGAGCACAGCCATATGCTGTGTGGCTTTGGCTCTGGACGCTTTAACTCACACCGGCGCCATCCATGACTGATACCTCTGCTGGGTCTAACTTAAGCTTCTTGGATCCCAGGGACACAGTGACGTCTCCTGCTGTCCTTGGCTTGGGCAATGGCACTTCAGGCTGGCCTGGCAGGAAGTGCACTCAGGAGCTCTCCAGGCTCCCAGAGGGCCTGCTGTGGGAGTCAGGCCAGTTCCTCACCTTCATCGTGTATGTGTCGCCTTCTCTCCCACAGGCTCTGCCCTGGGCTCGAGGCTCCCCATCGTCCCCCGAGCTCTGGCTGTGTCTGCTTCCTAACATCCTCATCCATTTCTGAGGATCACTTGATCCTCAGAATGAGCCTCTGTCAGGAGTGTGTGAGTATTAGTTCCATATCAGGAACCAAGAAGCAGCATTCCAGAGAGAAGAGATGCCAAGGTCACGTGGTTACGGCACGTGGAACTTGGAGTGCAGTCAGCCTCCCTGACTCTGAAAGCCACGCTGCAGACCTCTCCTCATGTGGGCTCCCTCCCTTCAGTGTCTGTGTGCTTCCTGATGCTGCCACCCAGCCCTCGGGCAGCAGAAGGAAGGTTCTGGAACATGACCAGGGACCATTTACAATCCTCCGGCTTATAGGAACTCTCTGACCACGTAGGACAGGAGCCCTAGGGAAGGACCCCAGGCACCCAAGATGGGTGGACAGGGAAGGACAGCAGAGCCGTGTCCCTCAGCGAAGGCCCATTGTCACAGCCCATAGGCTGCTCTTCAAGGGTCCCCTGCCTGATAGCTATCATGACTTAAGGAAACTGTCTACATTGGTCATAATATCACTCTTAAAGCTCTCAGCAGTCTCTCTCAGTCAGCTGAATGACAGTCCTGATGTTGGTTGACCTGGTCTTTGCCAGCAGAAGGAAACCAGCAGTCACTCAACTTTCAGCCAAGATGGAAACCCCGTGTAAGAGTTAACCTTCTCAAGAGAGTCTTAGTTTCTTAGGAAAGTTTCAAGGTGCACAGGTCTAATCCCCAGTGTGAAACTTGGAGTGTTCCAGAGCTTTATTTGGGATGTTTTTATGGTACTTCAGGGGGCTCTTTCAAGGTCTAGCAATCAGCCGTACTCCACTTGATAGCAGACTTTCAGAGAAGCTTTTCAGGCTTGCCTGGGCTTTATTTTTAACAGGCTTATTTATGTATCTGCCTTAGTCTCCATGGTCAAGATAAGACAATCCCCATTGATCTGACATGATCAACGAGCCTGTCTCTGAGAACTGCCTCTCTAGGAGTGCAGGAGTTTCTTAAAGCCATCGCCAAGACCCCAGAGAGAGCATGTGTGCTATCTGATTAACAAATACTTCTCTCAGACATGGGAACTAAAATCACCCTCCCAGATCCTCCGGAGACTCCAAGGTGGTCATTTTTTTCTCACTCTGCTCCTGCTTGCATTCTAGAAAAGTACACTTCCAGACAGGGAAAGTCTCCCCCACCACTGCAAATCAAGTGAGTGTGTTCAACCGGACCACCGGGCTTCTATTAAAAGCGCAGAGAGAGCCAATCTGATCAGGATTAGATGTACCTCACAAATACAATTTACTTAATCAATAAGATCTTGTCTAACAGGCTCGCTCTCTACTCTTGAGGTCATGTAAGTCATCAATGGTGCACCACACAGATGGCAGGGAGACAAGCTTCCACCAGCTCCCAGCAAGGCAGCCCACTGCCCATATTGATCAGCATTAATAAAGCATGAGCAGCAAGATGGGGTGAGTGTACCAAGGATTAATTACGCGCCTCCTGTCTAGGAGAGCAAGGAAGACTTGCAGCGATTGGTGGACGTTTGGTATGAATAAAAAATGGAAATTAACAGAGAGACCATGCCAAGATTACACATAAACACAGGAGGGTGGGCTGCCATCTACCCCAAGCACTTCTTCAGCTCCTGATCTGTGTCACAGGTGGGAGACACTAGGACAAGCGGGAGTTAAACTTCTTACTTTTCGGCAGGTCAGGTCTCTGATTCCTTTGTCAATAGCGGTTCTGAAATTTCTGAAAGCACGGTCCCAGCTCAGAGTAGAATCAGCCTGAGGCAGGAACTTGGTAAAATCTCAGGTCCTACTCAGACTTACTTAACTAGAAATTAGGAAGGGGCCAGGCCCAAAAGCTCTGTTCTAGCAAGGGCTCCCGATGACTCTGGGACGCTAGCTTGAGAGCCACCAGGCTAAGGGGTCATCTGGCCATCAATGGTATCTCCGCTAAGCTATCTCTCCATGGGGAAAGCTTCAGCCAAATGTCTTCAAAAGCAATGATCAATTGAAAACCTGTAACTTGACAACTGGACTTCTGGGAAAACAGCAAATGTGGCCAATCTGACTTTGAATTGCATGGCTGTAGTTTAGAAACGTAAGATCAGTTATCAGTAAAAACTGGTTGAACCCAAATAGACCATACATAAATAAACAAAGAAAAACCTTGGGATCTCCTACCAAAACTATCTAGTTTTAAGCTGGGATATAAACGACTCACAATTTTTACCCAAACTCACCTCACCTATCCTTCAGGTCCTTGACCTGTACCACCTCCTTCAGTAGCTCTCCCTCCCCGTCAGACCCCCAGAACCATAAAGAGCCCCCCAAAATGTGTTTCCCTGTGGTGATGGTGAGCTCCAAGTGTTTCTAAGACAATTGTGCTGTCCATGGTCCTCTGCCTGATGGCAGCGCCTCTTCCCTGAATAGAACAGGCAATCAGCAAAGCCTTACATACATGAGCTGATGTAACTGAATTCAAGCCCTTGAATAACCTGGGACAGATCCCCCAAGGCCTGTGCCCTGGGTTCCAGACCAGGAGAGACATGAGGAGCCCCGAGTAGTTATCCAGACCAGCCGTCAACTTGGTCTTAGGAAACCACATCGTGCGTGGCCCGTGGCCTGGGTTCTGCTGTTTTATCTCATGGCTCATTACAGCTGCAGACCGAAGCTCTCAGTAAAAGCCATGTGGGGAAGAGAAGCGTGGCTTTGGGGAACCTGCTGGAGAGTGTTCAGAACTCACTTGGACAAGCAGTGGCGGGTGCAGTAGACGTCACCTGTGGGAGACAGCGTAAAGTTCTCGCAGAGGTAGAAGTGCTGGTGGCCGAAGAGTAGGACACCTTCCGAGACCAGGTGGCCCTGCACAATCACCAGGGGGAACTTCTGTGTCACCTGAAGGGAGAGAGCGCTCGACTCAGGCTGTGTGCAGGCGATGCATGCCACGGTTCTCAGGAAGGAAGGGGGAACAGTGACCAGCCACCCACTGGGCACCTGGGGTAAGAACAGTGCCTCGTACAAAAGACAGCCTGTGCCACGATTCACAGCCTGGGTGGCACTTGTACCCTCAACAGCCGTGCAGTTGTTCATCTTCCCAAGGACGCCTCATGTCCCACTGAGACACCAGTGTGGTGTTCGCTGTTGTAGGCACCTCCAAGTCCTTCCTCAGTTTAAGCATCCCCTTGGCAAAGCAAAGCCTTCTGCAGCTGGCAGGAAGGAGAGCTTGCCAGGTGCAAGGTGTCCTCAGTGACAGAGGAGAAGGATCTTTCCGGGGACCAGGTGCCCCAGAAAGGGCCACGCAGGACTAGAACCCAGGTGCTCAAGGCTTTTCCACTGTCTGCAAGGCCAGCACCAGCAGGTATGGAGCGTGCTCAGGGTCCCTCCTGATCCTGCCACTCAGGACAGGACAATGGGTGTCCCCCAGCTGGGGAGGTGTCCACAGCTTCCCAGAGCTGCCTTGGATGCAGATAGTGCCTGGGCCAATCACAACCCAGCCCAAGGGGCAACCAATATTTAACCCTGGTTACTGCAGCGGAGAAGGGTGAATCAGCCCCGCACCAGCACTAGGAACCACACTGGTGCAAGATCCCGGGTCTGGAGCTTTGTCAGAAGTGCTCCTTTATCCTGTCTACCAGTCCATCCCGCAGCCCGAACTTTAAACAAACTCCCTGCGCGCATAGGGTCATAGCTGGCGTCCCAGGAGCCTAAGCTGTGATGGTGACCCAGAGTCCTAAAGCCAAGACCACCACTGTTTCAGGACAATTCTGTGCCAATTCCGGTCACAGAAAAGCAGTGCTGATATTTTTGGAAGGAAAATAAAGGATTTCAGGAAATGAGAGTCTCACCAAAGGCTAGGCACAGTGATGTGTGTGCCTCTAGCTCCAGCTACTTAGGAGCAGGAAGATGCTTTAAAACTGAGAGTTCAAGACCAGCCTGTACCCCAGAGCAAGACTCTCCATGCCCTGAGAAAGAATCTGTCCAAAGATCGGTCCCTTTATGTTATGATTTAAATGGGGTTTCTCCCACCCAAATTCATGCTGAAGCCCAGCTCCCCAGAGTGACAGTGTTTAGGTAGGGGACATTGGGGAGGTGATGAGGTCTTAAACTGGACTGATGTTTGTAGTTAGGAATCAAGTTTAGCTTCCTTGGCTGGCTCTCCTGCTTCCTGTCCTTCTCCTCCATCACGGGAAGCCCTCTATCACTACAGAAGCCAGACATTGGCGCCAGGCGGCCTGGACTTTCCAGCCACCAGAATCATGGGCCAAAATAAGCCCTCTTTTTTTTTTAAGTACAATCCAGGCATCAGTTACTTCATTATAGCAACATAAACCAGACTACGGCATCCAGCAAACAGTATGGCTCAGCTCCTGCTCAGCTCTGGGAGTGTGACAGGGTCACAGGGGCGAAACCTGGGAAGCTGACCCTGATCCCCATGCTCCGACTCCAGAATCAACTGGGATCAGTCAAAGTCAAGGCCAAAACCAGAAGCAGAGGCTCACTGCAGGTTTGGTTCCAAGATGAGCATTAACCACGAGACTCCAAGGTGACTCAGGGCTGAGACATTTTGCATAGTGAGGACCAGCCAAGAGTCAATCTTGTGACCAGGCCTGCTGCAGACACCTGGCTCTCTGGGGCCTCTCTGAGTCTACTTTGTTAGAGAAGCTGCTCCTCGGTGCAGCTTCTGAGCCACAGAGTCTCCTGGGGACTCAATTATGACTTCATCATCCGTCCAGACGTCTACACGGCAGTCGGGATTCAGCTCCCACTCCACTGGGGTCCTATACCAGCTTTGGGGTTACGGGCTAGACAAGACCTCTAAGACCCAGCCAGGGAGATGCAAAGGTCCTTACGTGCCAAACAACACGTATCACACATATTGCAGGCGCTGAGAGGAAAACAGGGGGACAGTGATCATCAGAGAGCAAACTAAAGATCAGCACTGCATCCAGACCCTGGGCCTGAGGGGTGAAGATGGGCAGTGAGGAGAGGCCAGCCGGGAGCTCTCTGGGTACAGGAGGCCAGAGAATCAGCAAGAGGCCAGGCTGGCCGAGGTGGGTTTGGCGAGCAGGTGGCCCATCGTGGAGACCTTAGCAGTCCCCATAGGACCACTGGGTTTATTCTGGTTACAGTAGAAAACTGGAGGCCAGTTCTCTCTAAAAGGGAATGCTGGCTACTGTGTGGATGAGAAAGGCAGAGTCAGGAGCAGGAGGAAGGTGCCCAGGCTGCGCGTGGAGGCGCATCCCATAATCCTAGCACTCGAGCAACTGAGGCAGGAGGATCGTGGTGAGTTTGAAGCCAGTCTGAGGTTACATGGTAAGTTCAAGGCCAGCCAGAACCACAAAGCAGCACCTGGTGGGAGGGTGCTGAGATCTGAGTGTAGACTGAATGGGTCCCCTGAGGCCCTGGGTGTTGACATCTCATACTCATTGAGAGATACTGAGGAGGTGAAGACTTAATCCAACCATGGTGCTCCCAGGGGGAGCTTTTGGGGGGATGAGCAGGATTAGGTGGTCACCGGGGAGGGGTCCCTAAGACTGAAGGGGGTAACTGTACAGGAAGGAAGAAAACACACATGCTCTGTTTCTTGTCATGGGGTGCCCTGTGTCACCATGGGTGTCCCAGCAAGGCCATCACATCCCAGATGTGGGCTATTGTCTCACCAGACCCATGAGCCCAAGTAAAACCTCCCGTCTTGAGGAAGTTAGCCAGCTTCAAGCGTTTCATTATAGTAACATGACACAGACTAAAACAGAGGGTCATGCTAAGCTGGTTAACTTTTCCTCCTGTACTTTTCACAGATGTGACTCCAAGGGGCACCCATCCTCTCCTAGGCACAGTGAAATGTGACACTATGGTACAAAGCCCGACTTCTGTACCTCCAGAACCCCTCCTGCCCCTCTGTGACCTGCAGCAGGGCCTGGTGCACGGGCTGCCCTTGGGAGGGACTTAAAGTAACACCAGAATGAACCAAACCACAATAAAAATGTCTAGTGAGCACTGAGTTAATAGCTTAAAAATTGATTCTGCTACAAAAGAAAAGCCATCTTAAAAACTAGAGAATGAGCCCACGTGAACTATCACATGCACTTCCATTTGAATGAGCCCTGGGAGGGCTCCGTCCCTGTGTTTACTCAGGCTGAGACATTCCTCACGCAGCAAGATCATCGATCACTTTCAGAAGAGAGGAGCGTTTGCTTCCTAAGGAGAACTTTTTAAAGAGCGGCTGGATGATGCATTACCATTCCTGAAGGACAGATGACTGAGAAGGGCTGCACCTTGCTCTGGGGGTGATGACACACAGGTGGTCAGGAGACCAAAACGGGCCAGGCTGAAGCCAGAGGAACAGCCCGCCTTGGGAGCCGTCCGTAGCAGCTCCCACCACCAGCCTCCCAGAGCCAGCCCTCAGTGGGCTCATCAGTTAAGGGCGAGGCAGCTACTGCAGAGAAATACGTGGTCTGTGTACAGGTCACCACCTCGAGTAAGCACCATCGTCCCTTCCCAACCTTGGGCATAAGTTCCAGGACCCTCATGCTACTAAAAGCCAGAGGACCAGTCCCTGATATAAAACAGCATGATGTCTGCATGGGTCCTACCCACAGCACACACCACACCCTCTCCGGGCCCCGTATGATGTCAACACGATGTCAACAGTCAATCTATTGTGTTGTCCTGGGAAAAATGGCAGCTGAAAGCCTGTCTTGGTTTGGTACAGATATGATTTTTGAAAGGCCAGTTTTGACCTGCGGTCAGTGGAATCTGTGGATGTGGAATCTGGAGATACAGAGAGCCCACTGGGCCCTCCTGTTTCAAAAGGGCAGAAACTGCTGGAAAAAAGTTAAGTCCCTAGAGCCCAGGCTACACAGGTGACACTCGTGCTGGTTCCCCATGAAGCCAGCATCTGCTTTTGCTAACTTGATGGCTGTAAGAGGATCACTGAGTCACAGTAATGATCTGAGAATGTACAGTAACGCGGGAAGGGGATAGGACTTGTGTATACTGTAGGTTTGGCAATAGGAGATAAAATGCTAAGTGATCCTCTCAGGCAAGAGAAGGAGCAGGATGCCCCCTGCCTGCCAGCAGGCACCACTTCCTGCAGTGAGGATTCCCTGCAGGCTCGGGGGCTGGTGCCCTCAGCCTTGCCTGGGTGCTCCAGCCTGATACGAAACCCCTCGTGGGTCCTGAAGGCGGTCAACACACGGAGGCTCTGCTCACTGGCAAGGGGTAGAAATCAGAGCACAGTCCCGGCAGGCTGTCTCTGAAGACCACAAAAGCTGGCCTGGAGGGTCTCGGGCCCTTATTCAGAACGTGAGTGAGCGTGAGAATCCTGGAGACAGCTTGATAAAATGTGTGTTCTCAGGCTACATGCAAGAAGTTTAGATTCCATGGGGGCAGAGTGGGCCTGGAAGCCACGTTTTAATTTGTGACACTGACGCAGTGCACAGCCCACATACTGCTTTGGAGCCGTGGGCACCAGCGGGGCTGGGGAAGACCCAGATGCGTGGCTCCTAAGGTGGGCCTCCTTTTGTCCCTGTGTCCAAGAAGGTGACCCCCATGCCAGGACCAGGGAGGGCACTGCAAGGCATGAAGCCTTGCACCAGCTGGTCACTTATGGAGACTGCGGGCAGTTCTGTGTGACTGCAGTGCACACCAGCTGTGTGTGTACCTGTATGTGTGTGTGCACACTCGTGCATGCATGGAGACATGGGAGGCCAGGCCAGGCAAGCTGCAGGACCAGCTCTGCAGTGACCTGGGAACCACAGAGGACTGCACAGGGACATCGTGCAGCTGCACTGCCCACCCAACGAGATGTTTCAGTGTGCAAGGTGGACACCCTTCTTCCCTTTCTACAAGCACTCGGCCGAACCCACCTGGGAGGAGCCAGTGGCAGGCACGGCTCTCTGCCGCCCCAGGAGCGAACATCTCCCCCTTGAGCTGCTCATTCCTACCGAGGTCACTTGTGATCTACACTGAGAGTGCCTGGGGAAAACACAAACCCATGTGTTTAAATTTCATGCAGTCAAAGAGACCAGCAGCTCCAGGGACCTCAGGAGGGGATCTGCGGCAGCATGGAAGGAGTTGAGGCCCTGGGGCCTCCTGGCAGGGGAGCAGGCTCTTCTGAGAAGCAGGCATTGCCCTGGGCATTGGGGCACACTGTGTGTCCACCCTGGGCACCTTGGCATGGAAACCTAGGAAAGCGCTCAGCCTTACAGGAGCTCCTGGCTGCCACCGATGCTTTCTACCCAGGGTCTCGGCACAGGTTAATGAGGCCAGGCTGGGAACTCCTGGGGGGTCCTCCACCCAACACCCCCCACTTACACACAACACACATTGCCCTCCGTAAGCTCGCTGGATATTTCCTCCAACACATTAGCAGTTTGAAGGTCAATATACACATACTCCCTTCTTCAGCCTCATGTTCTTGTTCTTGCAAAACAGCCATGATGATCCAGAGAGGAGGCCACCATAGAAAAGGGATGAGGCCACAGAGACCCAGGATCCTGCGGTGAACCAGGATCAAGGATGGCACAGGAGGGAGCTGCCAGCCCCAGGCCCCGAGGGCCAGCCCCGCTACCCAGCACTCTCATCTGTAGAGAGGCATCTCCTCTCTGTCCCTAGGATGTACGGATTCATGTGAGACCTGGGCTCCTGCCTCCTGCCCTCCTCCCACCCCATGCAACTACATCCAGACTCACCCTTAGTCTCTTTTCACCTTAGTTCAGGCCCCTCCCAGAAATTCCCCTCCTTCTCCCCAAAGCCAGTATACTTGTAGTTGGTGCTCAAAGTTTGAGATGGGCCCCACCCCAGCACATCAGGTATCTCAGGAGCTGAACCCCCATCTCATCCTCCACCATGTGGGAAAGATGTGCAGACCCATCAAGGCCTTTGGAGCAGCGGTTCTGTGCAAACACTCCCTATACCTGCAACTACTTGCTGTTATGGTTTGTGTCTAGATGTCCCCCCAAAGCCTCATGGACTTATAGGTGGAGCGTTGTGGAGGTGATTGGATCACAGGAGTGTAATATTCATCTGTGGATTAGTCTCCTGGTCAGTTTGCAACTAAATGTGATGTTGGGAGCTGAAGCCTGGTAGGAGGAGGTGGGTCACTGGGGGCGTGGCCTAGAAGTCAGTCTCCCTCCTCCTCCCTTGATCCCTCTCCACTTCCTGCTGCCCTGACATAATCTGTTTCTCTTCTGTGATGCCCCTCTGCCATGCCAGCCCACCTTGGAGCCAGTCAATTATAGACTGAAGCCTCTATAAACTGTGAAGCAAAATAGATTTCCCCTCCTTTAACTTGTGGGTGTTGGACATTGAGGCTCAGCAATGAACAATAACTAGGCTGCTTGTCCCCCCAAGCTCCCCAATTGCACCCCTCCACCTCCTCAGGATGGAGCAGAGTGTGGGGCACCCGTGAGACCCTGAGGTCCCCAGTTGTTAGCCCACTCGGCCTTCAGGAACGAAAGAGAGCCCGTCTGAAGTGAGCACCGGCACACACCCCACGCTGAATCAGTCTCCTGCCATTGCCGTCTCCCTGATCCTTGTGGTAAGAAACTCGCTGCGAGCTCCATGGTAGACAGCAGGAAACTGGGGTTTGGGGGAGCTGGCTCCTGTGTGGCACCAGGCTGAGCTGAGATTTGAACACTGGTCTGTTTTACTTTAAGATTCGAGCATCATCCTCTGGATTATTTTTCAGTCTCAGGCAACAGGGCTGGTGGCTGGGTGACTTATTTCAGTGAGGCGCCTAGTCCTTCTCCTGCCATACTAAGAGGACAGGGGGCACTGAGCTTTCCAGCCAGCTTCAGCCCCAGGACCCTGGCTGTCTGTGGCCTGGCCCCAGCCCACCGCCTGACCTGTGTGCCCTTCAGGGTGGACAGCACCCTGTGCAAGCTTACACATAGCCAGCCCCAAGCCATGAGAGAGGGAAGCCAAGGATGGGACAGCCCGGACGCAGGGGTCCTAGTGACCACACATAGGCACTGGGCCCCCTGGTGGAGCATGGGGCCCTGCAGGAATTGGGCTTCAGCCAGGAACTGAACTACAAGGTTAAGAATCCCTGATGTGAAACCAGGGTTCCTGGGGGTGACAGAGGCCAAGCTAGGAAGTTTGGGCAGCTTTCACTGAGCGGTTTGTAAGCCTGAGTCATGTTTGGGCACAGGCCACACAGGCTTCCTTCGCACGTGCATGGGTGTCTCCAGCCTGACAGTCTGCAGATGTGACAGGCAGCTCGAGTTACCTTTTCTCCATCCAGGAGCTCCTGCAGGATGACCTGTCTCTCTCGACAAAGTTCCAAGAAGTCTTCTGAGTGCAGGCTCTCGTGCAGGGCAGGGAAGAAGGTGAGCTGGGTGCAGTCCAGCGCCACCATGTTGGGCTCACGCTCAGCATCCTCTGGTGCCAGGTCACCTGCAGCAACATCCAGGGTCGTGTCACTGGAAGGGCGTGTGGTATGTCCTTGCATCACTGAAAGGACTGCAGACAGCTCACTGAGCCCCTCCTGCTTCAGGAAAGGGAAGCCCAGCTGGCCCTGTGGCACAGTCAACACCCTCATGGTCACCTCCCCAGACCAGGACAACCTTCTAAAGTCCGCCCCCTCATTAAACAGTCAAGTCACAAGGCTTCTTCCAAACCCTACTGTGTTCCCCCTCTGAATACTGCTGTCACACTGTCTAATATCTAATATCTTCTTATGTAAAAAAAAATTTTAAAAAGGCCATGATGTGGTGAGAAACAAAACATCACCCACACCCAGAGTGCGGGGAGTAACCAGTCACTTCTGGTGACAGCTGTCCCTCCAGTTCTGCTAAGGAGGTGGATGGTACTTTATCCTCTTAGCACAAAAGGGAATCTGGAAGAGGCCTCAAGATCACATGGCACCCAAGAAGTTCAGGCAGAACCCCACCCCATCACTCCGAGCCCAAGTCCAGTGTCTTCGCCTCTAGGCTGCTGGCCTCTGCGCCCACAGGAATACTGGTGACTCCCAGGGCCACTGCTGTGTTTATGTGTACACACGGGATTTGTATCATGATAAGAATAAGATCGTGTTTGCATGATCGTCTTTCTTTGCTAATGCTTTATGTTCAAGATCAAAGTGTGAGCACCATGCTGGCCCGTTTCAAGTTTCCTGCATTTAGATGCTGGTGAGATATTCTATTATGTGGCTGGCTCATAACCAGCTAACTTGCCTCCTGCTTTTTAGAGATGGGGTGTGGGTAGTTTTTGTGTCTCCAGTGCCTCGGTAGACTGAGGTACAATCACTCCAGTGTGTCTCTAGATTTATTTCCTGAAGGCTGGGAGATCTGGATCCACAGCAAGTGTGTGACTAACTGGACTACAAACGGGACTCCACCCCTTCTCTGCCCATGTGTCCTGAGCGTCCAGTGCTTGGAGCAGGCATATGCTCCTCATGACTACAAAGCTCTGGCTCCTGTCTTTGTGGCTAGATGCTCAGCTCTCTGACCACCTCCCCCAGGAAGCACACATTTGCACAGAGCATGTCTGCTGCTCGGGTGACAGCCTCACAGGCTCGCCTGGGGCACTCAGAAGCACCAGTCTCCCCTCTCCTGCTGAGCTCACCACTTGAGATCTGGGCAGGGAGCCCCAGGGAGGCCAAGGGCTTCTGCTCCCATGTCCGGGCCCCATGGAGGGAGCTGCCCACAGCCACAGACCACAGAGCATTAGGACAAATCTCCAGGCCCTCACTGAGAGGTCTCTGAGCCCACAGCCATCACCAGTGGTGCCTGTGACTGTGACAGGTCAGACAGCAAAGGAGCCAAGCTCCAGTGGCCCGAGGAGGTGTCACTGGGCAGAGAAGAGGACTTGGATCACAGCCGGGCTTCGATGGAGCTCACAGACCCCAGGGCTGAGAGCATTCGCACCAAAGGCAGAGTCTTTGGTGACAACAGGAAATTTGAATTGTGTGTATGTGTGCATGCATGTGTGTGTGCATGCGTGTGTGTATGTGTGTATTTGGACACCTTCATCACAACACGACCTCTGAAAATAAACTGCATTTTCAGCAAATCAACACAAACGATTCCTCCATGAGAATCACAGAAGCAGAGGAAGCATTAATGCTAAAAATGACTCCCAGAATTTTCTGCAAGGGCAGGAAATAACAGCTGACTGTTGCATCTGTCACTTTCCTCTTCGAGAAATCCCGGCTAAGACAGATTAATTATCTGTGCTCTCCATTTCATCCTCCAGGACACTGTCTTCTATGTGTTTCTGTCATGCATATTTGGGGACACTTTTCTTTCTCCCTGATACAGCAAAGTGGCTGGACAGTTTCTCCATAAAATATGTATGTTCCAAACTCAGTCCTAAATCCCTGTGCTAGATTGAGTGTGGTGGCACACGCCTGTAATCCCAGCACTCTGGAGGATGAGGCAGGAGGATTGTTGCGAGTTCGAGAACACCCTGGGCTACAAAGTGAGCTCAAGGCCAGCCTGACCTGCACAGAGAGACCCTGTCTCAAAATGACAGAAAGAAACCTCCCCATGCCACCCTCGTGTCTAGGCCTGGGACGGCCCCTCCTTAGCCTGGAAACACAATTAACAAAGTCTTGGTGCTGCTCAGCCTATGTTTACAACTGCTTCTTCTCCCGAAATGTTAATTTAATACCTTTAATAAGTTAGAAAATAAATCCAATAAATTGTCAAAGGAAAAAACAGTTAAACTAATAAACCCAATACCTTGCTTTTCAGCATTGTTCTTTGAAATATCGCCCTGTTGGTCTTGAGTCTCCTGAAAGAAGACCAGAAAAAAAGAGAAATGAAATCCCATCCCTTTCCCTTAGACTCGTAAACACACAAACCAACCCTTTAAATTACTCAAGACTCAGAGCCAAGAGGAGGGTTACACTAAATGCCAAAGCAGTGCAGTAAAATACGCGGATTAATGCTCCCGAGTCAAAGGGAAAAACCCACAATCTTCCATTAAGCAGAATTACGGTAATTACTGAAGACGATGCCAATACAGGCACGCTGGCTGGCGGGGGGCACGGGGAGCTGGGGCCACATTGCCCGAGAGACCAGAGGCAGCTTCGGAGGGCACAGTCCCAGCCCGGGCACCTTACCTCCTTTCCCTGTCCCCAATCCCTAATCAGTGTACGGAGGGAGACTTCCTACAAACCTCCGAATGCCTGCCGACCACGGCTTACTAATACTTCCTCGTTACTGTCTAACAAGGTCAGCAGTGCTGGGAGATGCTGGGGTCACAGACGACAGAATAAGGGGTGGGTGCAGAAGGAGGCACCCCGTGTCTGGAAGGCTGCCTTGCCAGTTTACATCCGGATTGTTCAACACTTTGAACTAATAATAGACTCTGCTACGTCCACTACCGAACAGGTCCCACTGGCTCCCCACGTCTGAAGAGGAAGCTAAGGCTACCCCTGGTGGTCCAGTGCAGCTTCATTGTGGCCAAGTGCCTGCAACAACCAGGCCATCTGCAAAACTCCATAGGAATTTGCACAAACAGGCCAGTCCCCCTGGGTGCAGGGGCAGCGGTGTGGCCTGGTATCAGGGTCACCATATGAAGGGCTCGCTCATCTATCCACGCACTCATCCACCCATTTAGACTGCAGTTCTGGCGCTGCACCAGGTACCCAGAGGCTTGGCGCCTCCCGGTTCCAGGGTAAAGGACACCATAGTAAGCCGTGGGCCTGTGCTCTGCACCTGCCTACGTCCTCTCTCTCACCTGATGGACGTGCGGGATGGGAAGGCTGCAGAGATTCCTGGAATGGTCACCCCAAAGCCTGTCCTGCCTATAACGGTCACCCCACAGCTCCGAGCACCCACACTTACCTTGCACCCTCCTGGGCTCGCTGCCTCCCACGGAGCCAAGCGCCGAATGCGCTTCCTCATGCGCGCGGGGCCTTCTCTCCAGTCCAGTTCCCAGCGGGGACAGGGCACGGCTTCTCCAGCTGCCGGGCCCCACAAACCCAGCTCCCCAAAGAGTTGCTCCCGGATGCAAGCCCAGGCCTTGGCTGCCTTGATGTTGCCACATCGCCGCCTCTGAGAAGCAGAAAGAGCCACCCACCCTTGGCACGGGCTCCTCAGGGACAGGCCCTGCTCCTTCCAGGATGGGGAGACCGGGAACCCATAACCGGCAGAGAAAGACAGCCCTGTAGCAAGCAACAGGCCAGGAGAAGTTCTGGTGTGGTGTACCCCACATAAGGGAGAAGAAAACTATCCCTCAGAGGCACCAGGCTTCTGGTGCAGAGCAGCAGGAACAGGTCCCACAGCTCCTGAAACTAATGTTTAGAGACCAGACGGCCGCTTTGCACCGGGCACAGACTCTCAACAGTCCCCTGCCCTTCCTAGGGGTGCTGGTCACTCTGTCCATCACCTGACCAGAGACAACAGTGGCTGGCAGCCCAGCAGATGCTGAAGTGAGCTCTTTATGCTCATCTGTAGACCACAGTGTCCCCAACTATAGGCCCTGGCTGACATCTGAGGGTCTTTCAAACCCTGATACAGCATGGCTCTTGAGAAACTAATACTCTTTGTGTTAGTGAAAATGCTCCCATCTGATGGCCATGGAGGCCGCGAAGCATATGGGTGTCATCTCAGAGTTGCATCTGCTGCCGTGTATAACCTGAACCTTTGTGCAAATACGTGACAGACCAAGCTGCCCCTGCTGGAGCAGTCAGGCTCCACACCTTCCCCGGCAAGGAAACCCCGCACTCCAGTTCAGACCAGGGGGAACTTTATTCCAAAAAATATTATTAAAATATTTGAGAGTATTTGCTTAAATTTTAACTTTTCAGAAAGTAGCAGCATGAAAGTACTAAGGATCAGAAGTTCAGGGTCTTGGGCAGAGGAAACACAACTCAGTGGCACGGCGCCTGGTTGGCAAGCACGGGGTTGTGAGTTCGATTCCCAGTACCGAAAAAAAAAAAAAAAAAAAAGAGCCATGCACCTGCTTGATCTGATGCTCTCAATCCGGTTGACAACATGAGCAAAAATTTCCATTGTCCCCGTGGAGATACCAGGTCTGGACAGAGTGGTGACTTCTGCAAAGTCCTGCAGGTGGCCAAGCTAAGACCAAAACCCAGTCTCTGGGCTCCAAAGTCTTCCCTGAGCCCATGAGCTGGAGTCCTTAGAGTGGCCTGTTACAATTTTACAGATGCAGATTTCTGCAGCTGTTTCCTCAAAAACTGGCAGAACTTTGTGTCTGAGCTCTGCAAATCTGGGCTGTTTCAAATGGGGAAATCATTCTCAGAACTTGCTAGAAGGGGAGGGGATGGTGACCTGCATATGCCCTTCGGCATCTAGTGACCTTGGTCACCCCGTTCCTGCTGCTCACCCACAGCTGAATTTGAAGAACCTGAGCTCCTCATCCACGTCATGTGGTTCCCAATGTCACCCCTGTCGCTGAGCCGTGGCTCAGGGACAGACTGAGACGGTACTCACGTGAGTTTGACATGGCGCCGTTGCCAGTTTGCACAGGGTTAGGACTTAGAATAAAGCGAACCCCGCTTCAAAACAAGGTGAATTTGTTGCACTTCCTAAGTTCATATCCAAAACTGTCACAGCTCTTTGTACAGGATTCCAACCAACAAGGAACCCCAGAAAAACAACCCAGTATAGCTTGTCACTGACTTTTGATCCTGTGAAGGGAACACTCCTGTGGGGGAAAGAGTTCTGTGCCCTGGACGTCGCCGCTGGGCTTCCAGGAACAGTTTCTGTGATGAAGGAGGAGCGATCCCCATCCCTGGGGCTGCACAGTGGTTCTTTACCTCCCAGCAGCTGCTCCACCCAGGCGCCCTCCCATGCAACCTCAGGCTGTCGCACAGATCTGCAGACAGCCAGATGCCTGTCCCTGGGGAGATCCTGGAGAGGAGTGAAGTTTTAAATCACAAAAGCAATTGTATGTGGCCCCAGGACAGAGGCTGCCAGATGATCAAGATGCAAACATCCTGGGTCCCTGCACGGCAAGGTGCTCTGCAGTACCCAGGGTCAGCACAGGGCCAGGTCCACTCTCAGCTCCAACTACAAGCCACCAATTGCCACACCTGATACTCCCAGGAAGGAGTCCGTGGGGGCAGCTCTGGATTTCGGCGGTCGCCCAACCACCCTAGACCTGCCCTCAGGAACTCGGTGCTCCCCTGCCCCAGCCACTGCGCTCCGCCAGCCAGGTGGACCCCAGCCCTAGCCTCAGGCTGAGCATTTGCAGCCTGGCTGAGCCAAATCACCACACGGGGCTGCAGGTGGGCTGACTGGGCTGAGGTCGTCTGATTGGGCACTGAGCTCTCTGGAAGCCGTGTGGGGCCCTATTGGGAAAGCGTGCTGCCCCTTAAAAGTGGGGTGACTGCTCTAGACCCCATTATCCTCAGCAGACAGCAATTACATCTGCATTCCTTTAAATATCAAAACGATGCTTTAAATATTTAAACACTTGGCCAGTATCCTTATGGATTAGCTTCAAAACGCTGACTTTTCTCAAAAATATCTAAGCAATGGTAAAAATTATACAAATTTCTTAAGCAATTCCTTGGACTCTATCAGGTCCCACAGGTGCAGGTGAGCCCCACAGGAAGCGGGTCCATCCCTTCTGGACCGGGAGCCTCTGCTGAGGTTCCAAAGAGGACATCAGAGCCTGCAGTGTCACCAAGTCAGCAGGCAGGAAGCCCCCAGTATGCACCGCCCTGCCCTCCCCACCTACATGGCTGTACTCAACTGCCCTGAGGCTGGTCGGGTCGTCTACAAACCTCTCCATCCTGGAAAGCATGCCTCAGATGAAGGGCAGTCTTAACTCACTCATCCTGTCTTCCCCTCAGTGGCCACTGAATCAGTCAGCCTCATGGCTCGTCCTGGACACAGCCAGTGAGTCCACACAGGGCAGTGACTTCCAGGAGCTGCCTGGGAGCACAGACAGCACCCCTAGAGTGTGCTTGGCAGTGTTGATGGGGAGGCGTCCACAGGGGACCAGCCCGAAGCTCACCATGGAGACCCAGTGTGCAACTGTCCTCAGGTACCAGGAGCTCATCCCGCCCCTCTGCTCCCCATCACCCACCACAGCCACAAATGTTGTGCTGCTCCCCTGGGTGTCCTGAGGTGCCTGTGGCACCTCCAGGGACCCCAAGCCAACTTCTATGGGGGGAACTAGAGGAGATCACTCCAGCTGGTCCCCACCTCCTTTGGCTCCCACCTCCCAGCTCTGTGTCTCTGCTTCCTGACCCCCATGCCACTGGGCAATGACAAGGCTTCCCTGCAGCCCACCGTGCCTCTTATGGCCGAACCTCAAGTACTGGCCCATCTGTGGGAACCTCTGCATCCTCCGTCCCTTCATTAGGGCTAAACACCCCCAAGCAGAGCTGTAGCATCTTAAGAGCTGCATCTGCTGCCCAGGCAGCCTCCGAGCAGAGAAACCGTCCAGTGTCAGACATAATCCAGAAAGCTTTGCCTCTGTACAGTGTGTCCCATGATGAGAAATCACTTTTTAAATTTTTGTTAACAAAAATAACACCAATGAGCCAGACCTGGTGAGGTGTGCCTGTGATCCCACGACCCCAGGAAGCTGAGACAGGAGGATGGCAGACCAACCTGGGCACCTTAGCAATTTATCAAAATCCTGCCTCAAAATTAAAAAGGGCTTAGGATGCAACTCAGTACAAGGGCCTGGATTCAATCCCCACTGCCAAAAATAAAAAAGGAAAAGAAAAACAAACAAATCCCACTAAAACCAAACCCAAAAATACCTATACGGACTAAAACCTAACTCCTTAGCTATGGCAGAGCTGCACACGGGGTATCTGCCCTGGACACCCTTCAGCCCAGTGCTTCCCACTCACTCTTTGGTTCTTGCACCACCAGGAGTGAACCCAGAGCCTTCCCCTGAGCCACATTTCCAAGCCTTCTTTAATTTTTTTATTTAGAGACAGGGTGTAGCTAAATCGGCCAACCTGGGCTCAAACTTGTGATCCTCCTGCCTCGGCCTCCCAGATGCCACCTCGGTCTTAATTGCTCTCTAATCATCACTGCTGGGAAATATTTTCCTGTCTTAAAAATAAAAGCCTTGAAGTTCAGACCCCAGGCCCATGCCTAGCCTGAGAGCTCCTTACCTAGTCTGGGCAGAAGTCACGCTAGACAGGACTTGAAACACCTAGACTCCCCCCATCCCCATCCTGGGAATAAGAACCCACCACCCTACTGGGTTTGGCCTGGTCTGCTTTGCACCCAGGACCCCGTCGGTCCTCCCAGCCACTTCCTCCTGCTGACCGATGACCTCTGGGTCCTTCCTGCCTCTGGACCCTCACCCATCTCTCCCTGCCCCCAAACACTCTTTCTCACCCTAATGTCCTCTCCTCTAGGTCTTGGCTCATATAGTCACTTCCTGTGATCTCCACTGGAACCCCTGCTCCCCTGGCCCGGTGCCCCCTAAGTCACAGTTGATATCATCGCTGAAGCAATTTCGCATAGGCCTTGCCTTAGGAGGGCCGTGCAGGTGAGGCCAGGCCTGCACCTTTATACCTGTGCTGCAGCTCCCCACAGCGACCCTCAGGACCCGTTTGCTGAGGGGATGAGTGTCCACCACATGCCTGACCGTCAGCCCGCTGCAAGGGGCACACAGGAAGAATGGAGCTGCTGGTGACCCTTGCAGCCGTCTGCAGTCCCGCACTCAAACCAGAGGCTCTCAGCGTCCCTTTCTTTGAGCCTCGAGGCGGATCTGGGCCGACTCTGTGGAAACCGGCTCTGTGTCTCACCTGCACATGTTCCCGGTACAGCGAGGCATACAGCTCCTGGCCCCTGCGTCTGCAGCTCTCAATGCAAGACACGAAGTCCTGGGGAGGACAGAGAGAAGCACGGCTCAGTGATCCTGGCGTGTTCGGGTCAGCTCTTCCCCAGCCCACCACCAGAGCTTGCGGTCACAGACTTGGTCAAGTGGGTCACAGTCACACAAACAAGTTCCATCCATGTGAGCTCCCTCGTGTGCTGTGTGCACACACACGTGTGTCAGTAGCTCCCACAGGAAGATTTCACCTGCATGGGACTGCTCAAGTGCTAAAATGGGCATACTTCGTATATGGATAACTTTATACTAACAGCCTACACACTTGTAGGCAGCAACTCCCACAGGGAGAGATTTCACCCTTGTGGTACACACTCATGCTTAGATGTGCACACCCACGAGCATGGGTAACTTCCATGTGAGCAGACTTGGCCCTGAGCTGGGAAGGAATGGATCTCCACCCACTGGTGAACAAGCCAGGCGAACTGACTTTGTCTGAGCTCGAAGAGGGTCAGCTGTTTGAGACTGCAAAGGCCAGCAGTTTTGGAAGTACACTCGAGGCCACTTCAAGCCTCCACGTGTCCTGGAAGATCACCCTGAGATTGCCACAAAAGCCCTGAGGAGCCTGCTTCTTCTTCTGGTCTTTCTTTATGAAGCAGAGTTCTCCGCAGTGATGGCAGCCCAAAAGAGGTTATGGGTGTCACACGGGTGTCACACGGTGTCACTGTCTCCCATGGTGGGACTCTAATTTCAGGAAAACAAGCTCAGGGCTCCCACTGAGGCCGTGTTATGATGTGTTTTATAATTATTTCACCTTCTATTACAATGTAGTCATAATAATAATAGAAATAAAGTGCACAATAAATGTAATGTAACCCTCTACCCAATCTTTGAAAAAAAATGTCTTCCATAAAACCATTCTCTGGAGTTCAAAGGTTTGGGACCACTGCTCTAGAATTTTTAATAAATCACAATTTAATAAAAGAATGTGCAACTTTCAGTTAATACAAAGTAAAGAGAAATAAGAAAACAACTGATAATATGTTGAAAGAGGGCCAAAACAATTTTAAGAAGTCACTGCGAACAGACAGAAAACATTCAAATAAGTTAAATTTACTAAGAATGTTATTAACTGCATTAAACAGAAATGGATTAAGTGCTCCAAATAAAACGTAAACAAAGTCAAGTTTAGTAGCGAGTAAAAGCAAAGTTCCATAAATGCTGCTTCTGAGGACGCAACGTATTAAAAAGGCCACCGAGAGTTCAATAGCAAAAGATAAACTGTACAGACCCCAGCGGACGGAGCTCTTCCACGGCCCTAAAGTGTCACATGAAGTACATTTCAGGGCAGGCAGTGTTAGTAGAGGAAAAAAGGATGTTTTATCACACCAAGGGGTGGAAAAAGCCGAAAACGTAAACGCTTAATGGGAACCATCTAATACTTTTAAAACGCTTTATATGTAAAGTAACAGAATTAAAAGGAGAAATTAACAAATTTACAATTACAGAGAAAGATCGTAAGTCATCCTCCAGGAATTAACAATAGAAATGCATAAGTAAGACAGAGATGCAGAGCATCTGAAGAGCAAACAAGCAAATGAGCTAATCCAGTGCAAAAAATCAGATTTTTTTAAATGCAGAATACTCAAATGGAATAATCAACTAAAATTGACCACATAATGGGACATAAGTGAAGTATAAAATATTTTCAAAGGATTTGAATTATAAAGAATGTATTTTCTGAACACAGTGGAATTAAAATAGAATTAAATATCAAAAAGAAAATTCCCAAATGCTTAAAAATTCAGCAATAGGCCTGGGATTTAGCGGCATAAGCACCGGCCTGGCAAGCGAAAGGTTGTGAGTTCGATCCTGAGCACCAAAAAAAAAAAAAAATCTAGCAATAATTTCCAAGGAACCCAGTGGTCCAATAAGAGATCAAAACAGAAATCATGATGTACTTTGAACTAGATAAATATATGACATAATAAAACATATGATACAATCAAGACTCTTTTGAAGGGAAGTTAGTAAAAATGTAAATAACCATACAAATGCTATTTATTAAAAAGTAAAGCTTAAAAGCACATGTAAAAAAGAAAATCAAGTTAAAATGAAGGAAAACAAGAAATGATTGTCATGTCTGGCCCGAGAAAGATCCTCTCACGCAAAGAAGCTGATCTCCGTAAACAACAGGAAACCACTAATGTGCCACCCTGCCCACAGCAAACAGAACAGAAGCCATAAAGAAATTTTCAGACCGTACACACAATCTCTGTGGCGCCGAGAAGTCCACTATTATCTACACACCTGCACTGACCGGGCTGGGAACTGTGACCCCCAGCATTCCACCCAGATTCCTTGGGATTAAAACCCCATCTCCAAACTCTACCACAAGTCAGCCTCTTCTCTGGCCAGCTGCTAAAATCATTCACCAGCTCGGCTCCTCTGCACCCAGACAGGACAAATCCAACCCTCCGCTCACATCAAGCGGTGTGGCCACGAGGTTTCTCCTGCGCAACTGATAACAAAGTTACAGTGAAAATCAGAGAAGAAATTAAGAAAGTAGAATATAAAAATAGTATGAAAAACTTTAACGACAAGAACTGATTTCTTGAAAGACTACATTTAGAATCGTAAATTGTGTCTAATAAGAAATAATTAAAAGAGACATAAATTATCAGAAACAAGAACAACAAAAAAAGATATCAACACAAATCCCATAAGCATTTGAAATTAAAGGATTCCATTAGTGAGACTCATCCCAAATAAAAACTACAACAAAACCATTGAAACATTATTATAAATAATCTTAGGCTAATACTCAACTTGAAGAGTTGAGTAAACTAGATATAGTCTCAAGAAAATACTAGAAAAATTTTTGAAAAATCCAAATTGTCTCTTCTTTTTTTTTTTTTTCAAAATGTACAATCATAAATAAAACTTCCCGCAAAGAAGATTTCATCCATGACCATAAATGAGGGGGAAATGCTAGGGGAGATCACAAACAACCAAAAATGAGAACAGCAACAGAACAAAAGTCACATGTGGATTCTTGCTCTTTTTCATCTCTTGGTTTATTTGAAATATGTAGAGGAAAACTTACAAGAGCATGTTGTTGAGCTTCTGATATTTATCAATGTATGTACCTCAATAATGGCACCAAGAGAGGGCAGGATACAGCAGACACCCAGCAGTGATATCCCATGTCTCACTGGAGGAAATCAGTGTAAATTTGCAGCTGATTGTCGTGAACTAAGATAGACGTGGTAAACCCACAGCGCCACAGAGGACGGGAATATAAAAAACACAGGGGAAAATTAAGAACTTTAAATGCTACATGACAAAAATTGACTTAATGCAGACGAAAGCAATGTAAGAAGAATAGAAAAGCTAACGACATGAGATACATAAAGAACCACAAATACAAGAGCAGGCATAAACCCAGTCACGGGAGGTGAATGAGCTCCTACCCAATCCAGTCCAAAGCAGGGCCTGCGGGTGGGATGAGAAGCCAACAAGACTAGACGGTCCGCTGGCTGCAGGAGGGCTTCAGGTTCATCACAGAAACAAACTGAAGCAGGAAGAATGGGGAACGTAACCCGAGACGCTAATCTAGGGGTTCTAATAAGGGACAAAAAGAGAAAGACTGAGCTCCCCAATACATTTTATACCATCAATAGTTACCCTAAAACAGAAACCTAAAACTTGCCAGGAAAGAGAAACTGGCAGACCAATATGTCTTATAAATATGAATGCAAAATCCTCACCAAAATATTATCAAATTGATTCTAGCAAAATATAAAAATCATAGGCCATGACCACATGGAATTTATCCCAGTTACGCAAGATTGGTTTAACACTGCAAAATTATTAATGTAATGTACCACAGCAGGAGAATAAAAAATAAAAATCACAGGATCATTCCAACAGACACAGAAAACTATTCCACAACAGAGAAACCTTTCATGACTGTCATGGTTTATGTCTGTGTCCCCCAGGCCTCATGAGTTGCATTGTGCATTTGTTATTCATTCATTGTCTAGTGCTTGGATTGGTGGTCTCAGTGCTCCACCCCCATGGGGGTGGAGCCAGGATGTGATGTAATGGCAGGAAGAAGGTGTGTCTTGCTCTTTGCTGGTTCCTGCTTGCTGTTTGCAGCCGCCATGAAACGGCAGCCCTGCCATGCCAGCCTGCCTTGGAGCCAACTGAGTGTGGACTGAAACCTCCAAAAACTGTAAGAAATAAACCTTCCCTTTCCCAACTTTGGGCTTCAGGTATTTTGTCTCAGCGACGAGGAAAAAGTAACTAAGACAATGACCAAAAATCAAAAAGTGAAGCAACCCAACCAATCAACTAGAGAAAAAAAGGAAACTTTTTCAACTTCATAAAGAACATCCACACAAAACCTGCAGTTAACATCGTATCTATGCAAAAGTGGAAAATGACCCAGAGAAGATGTCCATCAACTGGTGATAAACACATGTGAACTTCATGTGGATGGAATGTTACCCTGCCCTACAAAAGAAGGAGGTATTTACAACATGGATGGGCCTTTAAAACCATAACCCTAAGTTCCAAGAACCATGGAAATCTTAAAATCTTAAATAGAATAAAAGGCACCCCCCAATGCCGTAGGAGGCCTGAAGTGTTAGAACCATTTGACAAAGATTTTCAAGCCGTTATTATTAAAAAAGGCTTTGACAACTACTAATTAACAGCAGATGAGAACAATAAAAACCTTAAGGCTCATCAGTCAGTAACTACAGCCTCATCAGAGAGGTGCACTTTGTAAAGCAGAATCGGATGCACATTTTGGAATTTAAACCTATAATAACAAGGGAAAACTCCCGGTGGATGGGCCTAGGAGCAGAATGGAAGGGACAGGGGGAAAGGCCAGTGGACTGGAAGCCAGAGGGACAGCGTGACTCACCCCAGGTGAGGGAGGAAGGGACGGGAAGGAAGGGGTCAGGCCTGGAGCCTGTGGACCCGGGAGGCCAGACCTAGTGTTCGTGTCCTCAGAATTCCATGAAGGATAGGAAGGTGGTGCCA